TTTTAGATATGAATCTAACGCAAAAATTTTTAGATTTCCCTTCGAAGCTAAAACGCAGATCTATTTTGCAATTTAGCTTTGACCAAGAAAAATCGATATTTCCAGAAAAAATGGATTCGCAACTTTTCTGGATTAGCTGGTCTATTGGGTACGAGCCCTCTATCCCGGATGACGATGATGGCAGGGAGCTGCCCGAGCAGCCGCCTGGGGAAATCAGCAACGAGGAGCTGCAAGATCTCATGGAGATAGACGCAGAGCCGCTCGAAAGGGTCCCAGAAGGGGTCGCCAGTGTCTTTGCGAGTCGCTTTGAGCATCAGGAGGCGATAGGAAACATCGCCTCTGCAGCCCAGGTTGTTGGGGATTCCGAGAAGGGTGGCGAGATCATTGTCGAGCTACCCAACCCTAAAGCCTTCGGCTCGTTGCCTTTAAGGCAACAAATCAAATTACAGTAGCCTCCAGGGTACAAGCCTTGTTTGGGAAGTGACACGGACCAAACGAATTGTTCCCGGGAGGCCTGGGAGGGTGGGGGGGTCTTCTGGGGGCGAAGCGAATCCTTTTGCTGAACGCCAGTCCATCGGAAGGAGTGCCGCATTGCACATGTCACGCATGCTCTGCTGTCAGTTTTGTTAGGCGCTGCATTCTGTCTTGTTCGACATGTCAGCTTCCGCACCTCAGTTGCTTATTTGCCCTTTTGGGCCTTTTCAATTTTATCAGTTTTCACAAACTTTTTCAAAGTTTTATAGAAGGTCCTTTTCAGTTTTCAGATTATTTTAGCCTGAATTTTTCATGTCTTGACTTGGTTGCTGCTGAAAAGCACTCACATGTCATTCTTATGATTCTGATTACGTCCGATATATCACGGATCAATCGGGAGGGGATGTTAGATGAATTCTCGTTTCCCACTCGACCCGACTCTTTTCATCTCTGTTGTGACGCAAGATTGGTGTTTATTGGGTCGGTGTGTTGCCGATGTGCAATTATCTGCAATGTAATGCATTGAAATGGAAGTGTTTCAGCCCAATGATACGACAGATTCTATGTCGCCATACCTGTCATTCCTGCGATTCTGCTGTATGACCAAGCGGAAATGCACGGAAGTGCATAGTTTCTTGTTGCAGCAGCACTTGTTGTGAACTCGACATTCTGGCTTTTGCTAGCAGCATAGCTTAAAAGCACGTCCGTCTCATGCCCAGTCACGCAGCACATCGCAGCGCAAAGCAGCAATAGTGTTGTTGGTAAGCACAAAAAGTTCGCCGTTTAGGCCAACGCATGCCGCATGCCATGGATTGTGCCGTTTTGCTGGCTGCAATCTTGCTCCCGCGATGCTGCGCATTCCATTTTACAGCAGTGTTTCGCTTGAGTTGCAAGTTTATGGTCTGTTGCAAGCCGATAAGCCTGGCAGCAAGGTAACACTGCGCAAGTGGGACATTGCCTGGCGTGGGAAAATGCCATTGAAGGAGTCTCTTTTGTTATTTGTGCTGGTGGCGTTGAGCCACGCATCTGCGCACAGTATCATATAGCGTGCAAGTGCAAGTGGAAGGCTTCTGGACCCTCGACAATTGGTGGTTCCACATCCAGCAACGTGCCATTGTTCAGGCGACGATTGGGTTTCCTTTCTGATGACGTGCCACGTTTGTCAGGCAAGATTGTGCAAGGTTTCTGGTTTGTTTTCATCTACACCGCTGCAGGGCATGGGATTGGACGTTGCGGGCTTCCACATACGTGCTGGTGTTCGAAGTGCATAGATAGAAGGCTTAGGCAACCGTCGTCTCTTACTCGCCGTTGGTCGTTGGAACTGATGGTGTGTGTGGAGCAAAGTTTGTACATGGCAAAGGCAGCAGCAATTAACCGTCATCCATGACCAAGCATCTGAAGCTTTAGCTGTTGAGTCATGTGTGGCACTTTCGTACGTATGCGGTCCTGACATGTTTAGACAACGACTGCAGCAATTGAACCCTACACAAACCGCGATGCTCCGCGGAGGTTTTCTGATGACACGGAGAGGGCTTTGGCTCAGTTCGAGCGAATCGATGACGTGATCATGGGAGGATCCTTGGTCTCTTGTATGGTACTTTTCTCGTGCTTAGTAATCCTTTTGGTGCTTTTCTTGTGCTTAGCACTCTTTTCAATTTTGAGACGCGCAGCCCTTGAAGACTGAATCAACGGTTTGAGCTTGGATTGAAGTTGAGAGTTTTCTGCACGTTTGGGTTCGTTGATATGCGGTTCAGGCTGAGGCCGACGCACTTCTGAGCCCGAAGCCGAGCCTTGTGCTCCTCTACGAGCGGTCATAGAGTCTATATAGGGTTGAGGTTTTTTTTTTCTGCAAGTTTGTTGTGTTTTGTTGGAAGAAAGGCGAAACGCTTGGTTTTTCGCAGCAGTGCGGGCACCAAACAGGCCCCGTGTCCTTGTTTTGTTTGTTCCTTGATAGCATGTCGCATTGAGCAAAGTCTATGATGGCTGCTAGAAGGCAGCCCCAGGACAGCTCCTTAGGATTTTGCTGCCACGGGCTCGCATGTCGATGAGCTACATTCCCGGTTGAAGTTCCTGCGGCATCGCACATAATCGTGTTGCCGGACCGAGGTGTGAGCAAATCAGCGCTATCAGGAGATTCAGGCGGCAGAGTTGTTTCGTGTGAGTAAGCGACGGGTTGCAGAGGTCAGGAACTAACATCCTCGAGTCATTGCGGCGTCGAGGAGCATTTGGTAGGATAATTAGTAGCTGCAGAGCCCAACTCAAGCTCATTGTGCATCATGGTTGTGTTAGATGTTGGCAGACTTGCAGAAACCAAGCTTATACTAGCAGTGCCTATCGTAGCCGATGCAGAGTTGCAGTGTGTGTTCTTGGCCTATTGATAGCAAGCACACACAAGTGTATGTACATGTGTGTACATATATATATATATATATATATATATGTGCTTGTGCTGCTTGTGTATACATACAGCAGCAGCTACAGCTACACACGACGTCATCGCATGGCACGTGACGGCACGTAGTGTCGAATGGCAACATGTAGCAACATGTGAGAGAAGTCGTAGCGAGGTCCCACCACCAGTCTCACTTGATGCTGCACTGAGTACATGGTCATGGATAAGTATGTGCAGCATGCAGACAGTGTCAACACGTACAAGAAGTATGCACCGCTAAACAGGAGCTACACCTCGCATGCTGCCGGTAGCGGTTTTAGATTGGAGACAGTCAGCGCAGAAACGTGCTTCACTGTGACGTCTATGCTTTATGCCGTCCCTCCCCAAACCCGTTAAACCCCAAACCCGTATACCTAAACCCCGTCCCGGAAGCCCAGAAGCCCTCAAGCCTAAACCCCTAAACCGCACCCAAAGGCCCCTAATCCCAAAATCCTGAAGTCTCATTTCATCCCCTACACACCCCGAGAAGCCTAAATTCCTAAACCCTAAAGCCCTAAACCCTCAAACCCTCAAACCCTAAACCCTAAACCCTCAACCCCTAAATCCCCAAACCCTCAACCCCTAAACCCCTAAACCCTAAAGCCCTACTTCCTTAAACCCCTCAACCCCTCTAAACCCTAAACCCTAAACCCTAAACCCTAAACCCTAAACCCTAAACCCTAAACCCTAAACCCCAAACCCTAAACCCTAAACCCTAAACCTCAGGCCTGGCATCATGGCGGGGCCTCGTCCGCACGGAGGGTGGCGGCTTCTGTGGCCAGCGCACCCGGCCGTCCCTTGGAAGCTTTCTTTGCGGGCTTTGGTAAGGGTTTAGGGTTTAGGGTTTAGGGTTTAGGGTTTAGGGTTTAGGGTTTAGGGTTTAGGGTTTAGGGTTTAGGGTTTAGGGCCCGAAGCCGGGAACCTGTGGTGCATCTTGCCCCGTGAAGTCCCACCTATTTTAGGTTCGGTGTTGCCAACGTGACAGATTTGTTTTGCGACGTCGGCAGGGTTGAATAACGTGCCGCCACATGCTTGCGCAGGTCTCCCTCAAAATCAGTATCGGACATTTACAATCCGGCGATCGGTTACATCATGTGCATAGATGATATGGAAGCAAGTGATGACACGAACAAACGAGTATGTAGAGAAAGACCACGCAAAGCGACCTGACCCGAACGAAACTGATCGTAGTAAAGCCAGCGTGGCTGGTTGCGCCCACCGCTGGCCCCATGCTGAGGCCTGCGTCCGTTTTTGGCGTTGTTCCACGTTCATGTCGATCCCTAACCCTCCAAGCGCCTACTAGGGCCTTTGGGGCTCCAGTGCCCTACCCTATATAGTAGGTACCTGGCGGGTTAGGGGATAATCGGTTTTCTCGCTTCGGCCGGCATCTTCGTTGGTTCTCGGTGTGTTTAGATATGGGCTGCTGGGTGTCGCTGCCCAGCTCCTGGCGGAAGGTTGCAGAAGGACAGCTCCAGGTTAGGGGCAAGCGCCCTTTCTCAACACCGGGGCAGAGCCACCCTTGTTTCCATGTTTTGACGGGCGATCGATGAATCCATGTTCGTTGAACTTTGAGCACAGAAACAAGACTCCCGATGCCGGAGACACTTGAACCAGCGAAGAGCGTCGGACGGCCCGGGCTTGCCACGAGCGTGCGTACCGGTTGACTCTTGGCGAGTGTGCGTACTGGTACTCTTACACCTGCTCGTGCTGTCTGTGCTGCTCTTACAAGCGCAGCCTGGCGATGCTCGTGCCCGAGTGGTGCTGCTGGGTTCGCTGTCGGTAGGAAACAGCGACGGCAAATTGACGAGCTTGGTGACAAGACGCCGACGTGCGCGACCTCGGGCGTGCTGACCTCGCGTGCTTTGCTCCACAGTTTGCTCCGGGAGTCAAGCCATCAGCAACTAGCATACACGTCAAAATCCAATGAACATCGATGCCGTGCAGAGCAACAACACAACGATGCGTGTACAATAAATTCAGAGGAATACTGCATCGAGTCGAAGCTCGAACACTCTTTCGCGCAAAGGTCGTTTTGGCAATTGCTTGCTGTGAACTTAGCATGCAGGGATGAACATGCATTGCCAATCTGACATGGTAAGAACATGATCGGCAAAACGATGTAAAGCCTTTGCTTGCGTGCCCAACCGCCTCAAGTTCAGTTGCCATTGAAACTGTCAAGACACATCCAACGCAATCGGACCTGCTGTTTCCCAGATACCCGGCCGCAGGTCTCCGTGAGCGCCGGGGCTCGGCCGAGGCGGGCATGGTTTTTTTTTGTCCCTGGTTTTTTTTTTGTGCCCTCACCCTGTCCGGACGGAGGGTGTGATGTAATCCATGTAGACCGAGCCGCCCGAGCCTCGCATTTGGGAGGGTGTTCTGCAGGCCCCGAAGCGAAAGCGCTGCAGAGGCAGAGGTCCAAAAAAATCTTGGTAGCATTTTTGGCGGCTTCGAAAGTGATCTCGCAGGTCAAGGGAAGGTCCGAAAGAAAGCAGCCACTATTTTTGGCGGGTGTCAAATCCACCTCGCAGGTCGGGTCCGAGGGGCCTTTCTGTTCCCTGTGCGCATGCATGTGAGGTCTGCCAGCATCCCTGCTCGGCCGAGGTTTTCTCGCGCATCCTAAACATCATCCGGAGCCGTAAGAGGCTTTAGCCAGTTGCCATGGCAATGGTGGCGCTGGAAATGCAGCCAAGGGCCGGCGTGATGCTCGTCAACGGATGCTGACAACGGCGGAAAAACGCTATATCGGCGATGAGTTTCGTTCCGCAGGGACGCTACGTGTTTTCTGTTCACGTGTGTTTTGTGTTACTTTGGAAAGCTTAGCGTTGCCTAGCATGCCTTGCGCCGCCCTGCTTCGCGACCGGCTTAAGCATCATGCTGTCGCATTCATTCCGAGCACACCGTGACGTAAAAAGAGTTTGCTGCGCGTCTCTTTCTGCAGTACGCGTGAGAATCGCCAGGGACGCTAAGTAAGCAGAACTTTAAACTCATCGACAAGGGTCTTTGTGCTGGTTGCACTGGTGATTTGAAGCTGCAACGCCGTCGAGTACTGACGCCCGAGAGCATCTGCAGACGCCTTGGCTGCAGGATTGTTTCGTTCGTGTGGCGCTGGCCATTGTTGCATGGTTCTGCAAGGACGCTTGGCATTGGACTTTGCGGACTGGCTGCAGTGTGAGTCCCTGATTTGGACGGAACATCGCACATAAGAACTCAATAGAATGACGTTGCTGCCTTTGTCCCGGTGCGCAAACCCCAACAAGAAGCTGGAGCACATCCTAGGGAGCACGGAGGCCGGCGGTGACAACACAAACGTGCGAGATCTGGGGAGGAATGTGCTGTTGCGATCGGGACATTAGGCGTGTGCAAGCAAAAGCCGATCTGCAGCAATCCGTAATGGGCCTCTGTTGGGATGTTTGCCGATGTTGTGTGGCGTTGCATGGTAGTAGTTTCGGCGGTGACAGCAACGGCAATACTGGTCCACAGGGTGATTCCATCGTCGCCGCAAAGTTATGAGCATGCAGTTGGGCGGCAAAGCGGTGCCAGCCTCGCACGGGGTAGCGTGCGGCCTTTACTGCGAGCGGAGCATGGCCTGGGCGAGGGCGGGCAGCAGCTCTGATGCTGCCAGCCCTGGCACAGGCCGCCCGTCTGGGAGTGACCTGCTTACCCGCCTAACGATGTACGCCCCACACAATGCGACCTGCTTGAGCCTGGCGAGAGGTGTAAGAAATTTCGTCAGGGCCGGACTAGCCTTGCTGGTGCTGTGTATCAGTGTGTGCTGCTTAGCGTGCAAACCAGCTGCTGCAAACACAGCTTCCTGACCAGTTTGCGTGGCTGTCTGCTGCTCGAAGTCGGCGGGAGCTGGGCTGAGGAAGCCGCTCCCTTCATCCGCATCCTTGCCCGTGCACGTGCCGCCAGCGCGCCGGCAGCTGTCGCTCGGCCCGGGCAGCCGGGTGCTCCGTGGGGTGGCTCGATGTGGCTGTCTGTCGCGGCGCAGCGCGCGCTCGCTGCCACGTTCCTCGAGCTGCCCCTTCAATCGGAGCTCGGGGCTGCTGGCCCACAGCCATGCACGAGCTCCTTGCCGACGCTCGTGCCTCATTGCTTAACACACTCAGCATGCTGGCGGTCTTTCTTCTTGCCCGCATATGGTATGCAGTCGTGCTACGTCTGGGCCGCGAGCGACCGCTCCCACCGAATCCCTCAAGCTGAGGGTGGCGAGCAAGGGGACCCCCTTAATGCCGGCCATGTTCTCTCTTGCCTTGCAGCCTGCCCTCCGGGCCTTGCAAATGGAGCTTCTCCAAGGCGAGCAGGCACTGGCATACTCTAACGACATTTACATCCTCGCCCCTGAACTCCGCTGGCATTCTCCCACCTGGTGTGCTTGCCCTTGTCCCTGACTCCCCGATATGGGTTGGTGGCAAAGACACCCCTTTGGCAGAGCCCGGTCACGTGGCCCGGGAGGCAAACGGCCCCGAGCGGCAGGTACGCGCACACCACTGCGCCGGGCGTCCCTGCAAACGATCGCCGCCGCCTGGATCTTGCGATCTGCGGCGCGACGCCACTCGTCGGCAGGGCCCTGTGTTGCGATGCGACCCTCGTTTCGCCACTGACACGCACCCTCCTTCAACCTTGCGCAAGGGCACATGACGGAGCTTCCTTGCGGGTTGCAACGCGGCAAGCACACTGCGTACTCCGAGTTGACTGCCGGAGGCCCGCAAAACCGCTTCGTTCTGGGGTCCGCAGTCGGGGATGGTGGACCGCTGGAGCACAGCAGCTGGTTCGTGACCTTGTCCGCGTCCGCGCTCAACGCGTGCCGCCTGTGGTGCGCGCCGGGGGCGCTGGGCGCGGCGCTGATGGGCTGTGCTCTCGGTCTCCGTGCAGCAAGCTGTGACAAGCACGGCACTGGGGTGGCTTGGCCCATGCGAGACAAAGCCAAGGCCCGGAGCTCGACCGGATCCTCGACCTCCGTGCGGAATAGTGCACGCGGAAAATACGTGAAGAAAAGAAATATGTTCAAGCACGCGCGCAGTTAGCGTTGTGGCACGGCGGCCTCAGCTTGCGCAGTGCGACACGGCATGCGCCTACATGCTGGGCTTCATGGGCTGACGCATTGCGTGCTATAGCCCGTCGCGGCCCCGACATCGCACATGAAGTTGTCGGTACTCTCGCCTCTTCGGAGCCATCCTCCTGCGCAGACTTCGCTTGCCCCTGCCACTGACCTCGGCCAGATGCCGTTGCTGCGCACACCTCGATCCTTGTGGTGACCACCTTGCCACCTGCCCGCGTTCCGGCATTTTGCGGGCCAGGGTGGGTGCAGAGATGCTGCAGCAGCGGTCGCCCTCAACGTGGTTGTGAGGAACTTGAATGTCGACCCGGCACGCCAAGACGACCGACGCATTGAGGTCATCGCCAGGCCTGCCACTGTGGGGTGGTGCCCAGTTCGCAGTCGACACCACGCTCGTGTGTTGTAGTCGACGGCTTGCACCCTACCACGTCGTGAAACCAAAGAGGGGGACCAGTGCAAGCACCAGTCCTTAGCCCAAAGAGGCTGTCTCCAAGGAGACAGCTGCGACCTTAGCAGGAGCCGACCAGTCCTTGGCTGGGTCTCCGAAAAGACGGTTTCCAAGGAGATTAGTGCGACCTTGGCAGGAGCCGACCAGTCCTTAGCTGAGTCTCCGAAGAGACTGTCTCCATGGAGACAGGTGCGATCTTAGCAGGAGCCACCCAATCCTTAGCAGAGACTGTTTCCAGGGAGAGTGCAAGGTCCTTAGCGGGAGCCGTGCAGGCTCCATTAAGGGA